GAGCCACCCAGGCTGCTCAACCCCAAGGAAATCTTAATTAGCCGGCAGAGAGCCGGAAGGTTTTGAATATTTTGGAATCCTTGAAAAGGACTCTCTCTCTCATCTCCGCGCCTCCCGCCTTCTCTTTTTTCCCCATCCCAGCACATTCTGCAAAGGGTTGGCATATGTGCACAAAAGGGGAAGACCCAATATGGCGTTTTTTCCAGTTAATACTGAGATCATGGGGAGACAGGATGAGGCATGGTGAGAGTCTATCTCAGGACCCATACCTCTGACATGAGCTTGGGGATTGGAGGAGAGGGTGGGCGTGCCTAGGCCTCTGACTCCAGACTGGAGCAGGAAAGGATGACATGGCAGTGGGATGAAAGGCTGGCAGGACTGCTTCATACCCAGGAGCAGGCACAGAACTGAGGGCATGCCACTCAGCTCCCCAAAGGCTGTGCTGGGAGTGGAGGGGTAGGAAGCTGTGACTTCCTCTGCCCTTTCCCTCCCAGCCCTCAGCCTAGAGGTCACTCGCTGCAGTGAATCCTGACCTGTGTTTTAGTTGGCACTCTTCCAGGGGCATGGTGACAATAGATATCTATGCATGCCCAGCTCCTTTCCACGATGGACACCCCAAACTTTCCCTTGGGAATAATCACCATTCATGCAAATAGCAGTGGACAATGTGCTTTTTTTCACATCTTTTATCTCACGATTCACACCAATCCTGTAGAGCAGAGATTTTTGTCTGAAAATTTTAAGAAAACTGAGGCTCAGAGGGGTAAAGTGACTTACCAAAGCCACACATGTAGTGAGGAGCAGACCTGGGACCCTGGAATCTCTGCTCTCTTTCGGATCCCATGCTTTCGGGTCCCCCCACCCCTGCCCCCAGGCCCCAAGGGAGCACTTTCTGCAAAGAAGGGGGCCTCTGTCCATGGTCAGGAAGAGGGGGCTCCAGTTTGGTTCCTGGCATTCCTCAGACGGGGTATGTCTGGACCCTCCCTGTGTGGAGGCCATGGGTGCCCCCCACAGTGGGTAATTCCCCCTTGGCCCCTCCCACTCTATCAGGCAGGGCCCAGCCCCTGAGCAGGTGCACATGCACCCTGCAGCTGTCCTGCTCCCTGGCAGGGTGGGGCAGGGACAGGGCTCACTATCACCCTGGCCCCCAGGGAGGCACCTGCACACCAGCCCCCGACAGGGACACCAGGGCACCAGCTCTCACCCCTGGTGGTGCCCACCCCCAGCAGCTCTGCCCCGTTGCCTGCAGCCTGGGGTGATGCCTCAGAATCAGTGTGCTGAGTACTGGCCATTGCTGAGCCTGTCCAGTTCCTATCCCTGAGGGTTGTGGTCGCCCTGGTCTGTGAGCCTGGTGGTGGCGCCAGCTTGCTGGGAACCTGGCCACACTCTGGGTGCTGGGCAGTTGCACTCGGGGAGCTCCCGGCCCCCTTCTGACACTTTTGTCTTCCACTTGATCTGGCAGACAGGGTAGGTCATCGTTCTCCCCTTCGGGGCAGCTGAGTCCACCCAGGACTAATGCTGGCCCTTCAGAGGTGCCCTCTGTGACATGGTCCCGAGGGTCAACGTCCTCAACATCCATGCCAGCATCTTCCTCACTCCCGCTCGGTGTTGCCTGATACCGGCGATGGCCACAGCTGCAAAACCAGATGCCCACCCCTCACCCTTCCGGGCCTGTGTGGCCCCCCAGGCAGTGTGGGTGGCGGCTCTCCTGGTGACAGTGCCCCCAGCTGTCTTTGGGGCCCTGAGCAGGGTGTCTACTAAGCTTCCCCAGTGGGTCCCATCTGGGGGCCCACCAGCTGCAGAGGACAGTGGGGGCCCTCACAGGTGCCCCCCTGAATGTCATCGCCACCCCTGCTGCTGCCGGCCTTCCTGGGCGGGGCTGGGATAGGACAGCAGGTTTGTAGCCCATTCTGTCTGAACCCCGGAGGCCTCCTTCCTCTGCTGCTTCCCTTACCATGTGGCCTGTTGCTGGATGTTCTGGTGACATTTGCCTGATGCCCTGGGATGGCATCTTTCTCCACTAGCCATGGCTACATCTGCCCTGTCACCACCTGCTGGCACACCTTCTGAGGCAGGAGCCTGATGGGCCCCAGCAGATGCCTTCAAGAATCTGCGAGCCAGGCTGTGGCCATGGGGCCAGCACGGGGTGGAACTGGGGCCCCCCAGGAACACAGGCAGGTGGTGGGTGGAGAGCGCACCCCCCACCCTCAGCAGAAGGGCCCTCCTCCCATGGTCACCTGGTCACCCTGCTGTTCTGGGCTCTGCCAGCGCCAGAATCATTCACCTGGGGAGGGTTGGTCTCAAGGCATGGGGAAGTGTGGTGGGCAGGTCCGGGTGGGGGCCCAGCTGAGCCTAGGTCTTCCTCCATGTGGTGGAGTGCATGGCAACGGGGAGGGGCTTGGAGAGGAAGCCTTTGATCACCCATGACGTGTGACCTGTCATGCTTCTACTGTCACTGCAGGGCGGATGAAAGGATTCTGTCCGGTTTCTGCCTCCTGTGAGAATTCTCAGGAAAATTTCCCAGGGGTTCCAGAATAACAGTCCAGAGGTTAGTGCCTGTTTCCCTGTTTCCCTCTGTCTGTCCCCTCACCCCCACCATCACCTTCATCATGGTATTCCCTTGCTCTTGGTGCCAGAGCCAAAAATTCCCCCGCCCTGGCGTCTCCACCTCACACACCTCAGTGGTGCCTGCAGACCTCAGCGGAGGCAGCTGGAGCACCTGCAGGGACATGCCCCGTGTGCAGCCCAGCCCCAAGTTAAGAGCTCTGCTTACCTATCCTTAGGCGGTGCTTAGAGAAGTGGAGAGAAGTCATGGATTGGGGGCATAAGGAGGGGAGAGTTGGGCAGGGATTGGGAGAAGTGGGGCCGCAGGTGTGTCCAGAGAATGGGAACCCAGGGTAGGAGACTGGTGTGCGCGTCCCTCCTGTCCTAGTGCGCAGCTCGGATCCGGAGCACCTGCTTCACGTCCCAGCTCCAGCACTAACCAGGGAGGGACCTTGGTGAGTCAATCCACTTCTCTGTCCTGGTTTTCTCATTGGTAAAATGTGTTGAGGACTCAACAGTGCCTGAAGTGGTGTGTTGGCTACTGTTCTTAAGACTGCACATAAAATGGAATCCAAGAGGAGAAATAGGGTACCTCTGGGAACCAGAGATGTCTCATCTGGAACGATGTGTATACTCTGGAGTGAAATCAAAGTTTTAAATCAAGAACTGAGGCATTGGCCCCTCATGTCCCTCTTGAGGTGTGTTTTCCAGGGCAGCAGGTTCGCCTTTGGTTTCCAGATCCATGGAGACCCAGCAGTGATAAAGGAGAGTAATCAGAAGGGATTTTCTGGGGGTCAGCCCCTGGAAAAAGCTAGATGGGGCAGAGCTCCTGCTTCTGTGGCCCCCAACACCATCCACCAGGCCGCCCCTCCCCCAAGGGCCGCCTCTGCACCAGCTCCTTTGAGGCACCCAGCAGGAGAGACTCCCAACAGGCGCCCAATTCACAACACATTCAGCAATGTTAACAAGATCTAATTAGTTTCTTGATGTTTAATTTCCTCCCTTTCATGTTTAAACTAGTTCCCAAACAGTTCTGTTCCCAGGCAATTCAGGATGGAAAATCCTCCCTAAGTAACCTCCCTATTTCTGGCCACCCCCTGCAGCTCCTCTGCGGGCTCCCCTGGGGGGAATCTCTGCAAATGGGGCCAGGAGGTAAATACTGACGAATTTAATCAGGTCCGAGTCCTAGATGAGTGACAGGCTGCACACCTCCCCATGGAGAGGAGAGGTGTAGGGGCACGGGAGGCCCAGCAGAGGACCGGGCACCAGGCCAGGTGCTCCTGGGAGTGGAAGGCAAGTGTTGGGGCACAAAGCTAGGCCCTGGCTCCCTGCAGTGAGTAGCCAAAGAACTTTAAACCCCAGTGGGAAGGTTGGAGGCTAAGACTGGGGCTTCTGAAGGCTTAAGGAGGCACCTTGGCCTGAAAGGGGAATGCCACAAGAGACTCCTCCTCAGAAATAGCCACATCAAGAAAGGATGTCATGTCTCGGGTCAAGGAGTGGCAGAGGGACAGCGCTGCTGGGAGCCACCAGTGCTGGCCCCTGAGCTTCTCCACACCTACCCTGGGCCATGTCTCCACACGGTCCCTTCTCTTCAGGCCAATATCCTTCACTGGATCTATGTGACAGTGTCAGAGAAGCCTGCCTTCCCCTTTCCTTGTCTGAGTGCTGGTATCAGCCACCCTGGCAGTCCCCTCTCCATTCCACCCTGCCGGGTTTGGGGTCCAGCTTCCAGCTGCCGAGCCACATGTCAGTGAGCTCAGAGCCCAGCATCCGGAGGGAAGTAGAAGGCTGCAGTGTGGAGGGCGGGGCCTGCCTGGCTCCAAGGCCCAGCCTTCCCATTTCCCCATCCACCTCATAGACCCCGTAATAGATGAGAAAGCACCTGCCGAAAGCCAGATACCGTGGACAAGTACAAGAGGGCAGTGCTGCAGCCCCCATGCCCACTCCCCAGGGGATTTCAGTTCCTTTCCCCCATGGATGTGTGTGCGCGTGTCCAGCGTGTGTGCCAGCGCCAACCACCCTCCCCCCTTCTTCCCTCCCCCAGCTGCAGGGGGTAGTCACCAGAAACAGGAAGTAAAATGAGGCAAAACCCAGAAGTGAAACCGACCTAATCTCTCACCACATCTGGAAGAGGTGGCCTAGGGGCTCTGACACCACGAAGACCCAGGGCAACCTGGGGGCTGCATCTGAAGATGAAAGGCTCTGGGGAGAGGCTGGTAGGAACAGGTGGGGAGGGGGGTGATAGGCTGATGCCCCATCTGAACCAGGCATACAAATGAGACTAAGCAGAGTTCTCTAATTCTGGAATCCCCAAAGTGCCCTTCCAGTTGATCTCTGGATTTGTGCCCGTGGATGCCAACAAGAGCTTATGTTGGGGGAGGCAGCCTGCCCCTCCTCTGGGGTAGCACTCCCTCAGCAGCACCCTCAGGGCTCGAAGACACAGAGACAGCACTTCGTGGGGGTTCCAGGTCTTTAATTTTCCCTGCTTTATCGTTTTTTGTTTTTGTTTTTGTTTTAAACAATCAAATTGGCAGAAAATGGCTGGGGCTGGTGGGCACTGGGGGTCTACCAGAAAGTCCCCCAAGTTCACACTGAGGCTTCAGTCATGGTTGCTGAGGTGGGGATGAGGTCAGGGTTCACAGAGATGGCCCAACTCACCCTACAACATATTTTTCAAATGGCTGGAGAAGAGGTCAGAAGAGGTCCCCCATTACTGCAGATGAGGTGACGTGGATCCCCCTACCCCTCAAGCTCTTCTGATAAGTGGAGATAGAAGGCTGTGATTTCTAACTGCCTACAATCATCTCTTAAAAATACAAAACACGTGCAGTTGGCTTTGGTACAAAAAAGAAAACAACAAAAAACATTCTGGTCCCATGGGATTTCCCCTCACCCCTCCCCCCAACAGAGCCATCGCAGCCACCTCAACCTCTACTCCATCACCCCCCAACTCTGTAGGGCCAGATGGTTTCCCTGGGTCTCCACTGAGGATGGAGAGACAGGGGAACAGCAGTCAGCGGGGAAGGGGGACATGGCCCCATCCATGGCCCTAATAGAAGGGCCCAAGGTGCACGTGGCACAGCCTCTCCTCAAAGACGGGTGTTCTTGGGGAGGGGTGTCAGGGCTAGAACCCAGCAGCTGCCTGGTTAAGCCTGAATAAACCCCAGTAGTGTTACAGATCAAGGCCCCCTGATCCCTATGGCTTGGTTCCCATGTCCCTGGTCCTCTAAATCTCCCCCACTCCCTGGGTAACTAATAAACAATAAATAAATAAATTTTCCTAAAGTAGAGGGAAGAAGGCATGAAAAATTGGCATCTGTGGTGTAGCTCCTGGATGCCAGCTATACTAGCTACTCCTGGTGCAGCAGTGGGGCACTGTGGCCCAACTCTTCCAGCTTCCCAACTGGCCCCAGGTGTCCCAGGAGCCTGCCAGCTGGCAGGGACCATCAGCAGTTCTTGAGAATGTTCCCATTGGCAGGTTAGAGTCCCAAGTTTGCCTCCCTCGGTGTGTTCTTCCTGGGGGCGCAGGACGAGAGGTGGGGGCCCCCTTAGCTCTCTGAAACCATAGGCTCCCCGTCACGACTCTCTGTCTCTTCAGGGATGTCTTGCATTCGGGTGAAATCTGAAGGGGGATGGGGCAGAGTCAGGGGCAGAACACAGGCTCCCTCGAGCAGCGACCCCCACACTCCCGCTGCCCCATCTGGGCTGGAGCTGGAAGGAGGAGTCCTTGGGGACTAGCCCTAGGGCCAGCAAAACCATGGCTACATACTTTGTACCCTCCCTGAGGACAGAAAGATACAATTTGGCTAATAAAATACAAAAATATTTTAAGATGACTACATAAAGTCACACCAACTTTTGGTTATTTTGTATTTCCTAAACCAACTATAAGAACTTTGAAGGTAAAAAAAAAAAAAAAAAAAAGAACTTTGAAGGTCTTAGAAAAATTTTACTTAGAAATCTATTTCTAGGGATCCCTGGGTGGCGCAGCGGTTTGGTGCCTGCCTTTGGCCCAGGGCGCGATCCTGGAGACCCGGGATCGAATCCCACGTCGGGCTCCCAGTGCATGGAGCCTGCTTCTCCCTCTGCCTGTGTCTCTGCGCCTCTCTCTCTCTCTCTGTGTGTGTGACTATCATAAATGAATAAAAAATTAAAAAAAAAAAAAAAAAGAAATCTATTTCTAGGGGGATCCCTGGGTGGCTCAGCGGTTTGGCGCCTGCCTTTGGCCCAGGGCGCGATCCTGGAGTCCCGGGATCGAGTTCCGCATGGGGCTCCCAGCATGGAGCCTGCTTCTCCCTCCTCCTGTGTCTCTGTCTCTCTCTCTCTCTCTCTCTCTCTCTCTCTCATGAATAAAGAAAAAAAAATCTATTTCTAGGGATGCCTTGGTGGCTCAGTGGTTGAGCATCTGCCTTCAGCTCAGGTCATGATCGTGGGGTCCTGGGAGTGAGTCCCACACTGGGCTCCCTGCTCTGTGAAGACCCTGCTTCTTCTCCCTTTGCCCTTGCCTCTTCCCCCATGCATGCTCTCTCTCTCGCTCACTCCATCTCAAATAAAAATCTTAAATTTATTTCAGCTTGAAAAGGTTGGCATCACAGACTTACTGGAGAGGCTCCTACAGGCTTTGTTTCCTAGAGGTCCACTGCTGGATCACCATTGCAAGGCAGGAAGGAAGTGTGTCATCTGTGTCCCTCCCAAGAGCTCCCGTAACCACCCCAAATATTGCCCCGAATGTTCTGTGCACACTGGGACACACTTCCATTCCAACCTCACCTCGAGGACTGTGGGGTGGGGACAGGCGGCCGCCCCCTTCCTCCTCACTGCCAGTATCAGGGTCGCTGCTGTCCTGCAGCCGCTCCTCGGGGCTGCCCAGCTCCTGCCTCTCTCGGTCCTCAAAGGGTCGATGGACAGAGCGAATGGTCACAGACAAATCCAGACGGTCGTGGCCTCGGCTGGGCTGTGACGGGCCGGCAGGAAAGGCAGCAGGCCAGGGAGTGAGCTCGGCCGGGGGGTCAGGGGGAGGCTGCAGGGCTGGTGGCCCCCGGCCTGTAGCACCACCGATGGCTCTCTGCACCCAACCTCCTCTCCCATCTCTCCAACCACAGCTTCAGGCTTTAGGTGCAAACCCCAGATTCCCCCTGGGCTGTGTCCCAGACCCTCGCACCCACTGAGGTTAGCCCTCCTGAAGCCTCCTTACCTGTGGGGGCGTGAAGCTCAGGTACAGAGCATCGCCTGCAGGGAGGCTGCGCCGCCGAGGGTCCAAGGGCCTGCGGGCCCAGGGGGCCTCCACCGGGGGTGGCTCACTCTGCCCCAAGATGGCTAGCTGCCTGCGGGCCTCCTCCGCCTCCCTCTCCAGCAGGGCCCGGGCCTGTTCACTCTCGCGGAGCCGGGCCTCCAGGTTGCCTGCCTCCGTGGCGCGCTCCTCGCCCAGCCGCCGGCAGCGCCGCAGCTCCTCCTGCAGCAGAGCATGTTGCCGCTGCAGGAGCGCCAGCTCAGTGGCCTGCTTGTCGGGTGCCACTGGGGCGGGCCCCACTCGGCCAGCCTCTCCATCCCTGGAGTTGGCTCGGGCCAGCTTCTCCCGCCGCTCAGGGCCCTCAGGGAACCGGGCTTCCATCAGGGTGTCCTGCTGGGCCACGGCCGCCTGCGGGTGTAGGGGGCACAGACAAGCGTGTCAGGACCCGTTTCCCTGACCCTTCACCCTCACCTCCCAAGACCTAGGTTCCAGGATGGCTCCGCCTGGGGAAAGGCCCGGAAGGCCGGTAAACGGCACCCCTGCTCTGGCTCCAATCTGCCAGCTCCAGCCCTGGGCCCACTGACCTGGAGGCCGTGGAGGAGTCCGTAGAGATTGACCAATCGCTGTAATGCTTCCTGTAGACAGAGGAGAGGGTAGGGGCAGAGCCCAGGCTTCAGGATGGGAGAGTTGCCCAGGAGGTGACCAAAGGCAGCCTTTTACACGTAGACACCCCTCCAAATGGGGCTCCCGTTTCTCAGACACAACACCCTCCCTTCAGCCTGCTCCACCCCAGGTCCCCACCTCACCTCCTGGGGGGCTCTCAACTGATTCCCATTGCGGTCCTGCAGAAGGAGGCAAGGATAGGGAATCACAGGTGCCTGGCCCCTGCAGCTCCGTGTCAGGGATCCCCAGGCTAGTTGCCCCTTCCAGCCCTCTCTTGAGTCCTGACACCTCCCAGGACCCACCTTCTGACTGGAGTCAGAGTCCGTTCTACAGAGCTCAATGGAGCCATTGAAGTTTCTGGCCTCACCATCTGTGGAGAAGGAAAAGGCGGGGCTGAGCTCTGGTCCTCAGGGTCCCCCAAGGCAGTTGGCCCCTCCCACCCTCTGCCGTGGCCCCAGCCCAGGCACTCACTGGCTGTGACCCCAGGACTCGTGCTACCGCCACTGTCTGGGTCCACAAGCAAGGCCGGATCCCGCGGTGTCAGGAGCAGCTCTACTCCAGGCCCCACCAGGAGGTCTTTGAGGCCCTCCACTACAGGGAAGGGAGGAGGTCAGGGGATGGTGTCCAGGGGGGACCCCTGTGCAGGTGCTGGGGCCTCATTCATGCCACCCCCCACAAGGCAGAGATCACTGAAAGGCACCAAAGGGACAGCACAAATGTATGCAAGACTCATACACTGACAGTGCCCATGCCTCATCTCTGCTCCCTACACCCCACATGCCAAGGCGCTTATGGGTACTGGGGCTGGCACCCCACCCAGTCTGCGTGCTTCCAGGCTCGGCCTCATCCCCAGGGGCTCCCTTACCCTCACGGATGGCATCCTGCAGCAGCCGCTCGCCACGAGGACACTCCAAGGACTCGGAGCGGAAAAGACCCCTGGGTAGGGCGGGCAGGGCCACCCCGCCACTGTCCTCCTCCACTTGGAAATGGGTCATCTCAGCAAACAGTCCCACCTTCTCTCGCAGCAACTCCACCAATGCCTTGTCTTTCTGTTGCAGCTCCACTAGGGGTAAGGAACAGGTGAGCACACAGCAGGGGGCCGGGGAGTGGGGGGACCTCCCCAAGAGCCCACGGTGGAGGGTGGCCAGATGGCTTAGGGGCCACATGGGGCTGTGTGGTAGTACTTAATTCTAGAGTATTGGCATTTATGAAAAAGAAAACACTTTTTTGGGGAAAAGTCATACATGCACTTTCCTTTTTATAAGTAAACTCCATGCCCACCGTGGGGCTCAGAGTCACGACCCTGAGGATCAAGAGTTGTGTGCTCCACTGACAGAAGTGGCATCTTTGTTTTGTTTGTTTATTTAAAGATTTTATTTATTCATGAGAGACACAGAGAGAAAGAGAGGCAGAGACACTGGCAGAGAGAGAAGCAGGCTCCATGCAGGGAGCCTGATGCAGGACTTGATCCCAAGACTCTGGGATCACACCCTGGGCCAAAGGCAGGCCCTAAACTGTTAAGCCAAAGGGATCCCCGGCACCTTTGTTTTAAAACAAAACTAGTGACGTCTGGGTGGCTCAGGGGTTGAGTGTCTGCCTTGGGCTCAGGTGTGATCCCAGTCTGGGGATCGAGTTCCACATCAGGCTCCCTTTGAGGAGCCTGCTTCTCCCTCTGCCTCTTTCTGTGTGTCTCTAATGAATAAATAAAATTTTTTAAAAATGAAAATAAAAACAAAACAAAAACAATCTGTGGCCGGGACTGCAGGTGCCCACCACTTTTCATTCTCCCATCTTCCTTAAATGTAGAATCCTCACAAATTTCATCTGGGCACCTGGCTGCCCATTTAAGACCGTATTCCCAGGGCAGCCCAGGTGGCTCAGCGGTTTAGCACCACCTTCAGCCCAGGGTGTGATCCTGGAGACCCAGGATTGAGTCCCACGTCGGGCTCCCTGCAAGGAGCCTGCTTCTCCCTCTGCCTGTGTCTCTGCCTCTCTCTCAAATAAATAAATAAATAAATAAATAAATAAATAAATAAATAAATCTTTTAAAAAAATAAATAAAGTAGCCATCAACTGAGACCTCATATAATGCAACAGTCACCAGTAGATTCATGCTCTGTTACATTAAAAAAAAAAAAAAAAAGAACATACTTCCCAGCCCGACATGAGGCCAGACATTGTCATGGGACCAGACTGTGGTCAATGGACATGAGTGACTCTCTGGATAGGTCCTTAAAAGAAAGGGGTATACAGACAGGTGCCTGGCCAGCTCAGTCCACGGAGCATGTGAGTCTTGATCTCAGGGTTGTGAGTTCGAGCCCCACCTTGAGTGTAGAGATTACTTAAAAATAAAATCTTAAGGGGTGCCTTGCTGGTTTAGTCAGTAGAGCATGCAACTCTTGGTCTCAGAGTCATGAGTTCAAGCCCAACAGTGGGCATATAGCTCACTAAAAAAAGATTTTATTTATTTATTCATGGGAAACAGAGAGAGGCAGAGAGACAGGCAGAGGGAGAAGCAGGCTCCATGTAGGGAGCTTGACGTGAGACTCAATCCTGGGTCTCCAGGATCACACTCTCAGCTGAAGGCAGCGCTAAACCACTGAGCCACCTGGGCTGCCCAAAATAAAATCTTAAGAAAAAAAGAAAGGGGTGTAAACTCTCCCTATTCCTTTCCACCTCCCTGCTAGCCAGGATACAGATGTGATAGCAGGAGCTAGAGTAGCCACTTTGGGCAGGTAAGTGGGGAATCTTTATGCTAAAGATGGCAGAGATGTACTGACACCCTATACTTCCCACTTGTGGACTAAAGAGAATTAATCTTCTATCTTGCTTAAGAAACTGATTTTTGTTGGTCTTTTTGTATAGCAGTTAGTTCACACTCTAATAAAAGTAAAAAAAAGTAGATTAATGTCTCAACCCTGGTCTTCCTAGCTCCTTTTCAGGAGATACTACACACACACACACACACACACACACACACACACACACACGACACAGACCTATCCCCATTATTTTTACACCAAAGGTAGCATACACTCTACATTGTTTTAAACCTTGCTCTTTTTACTCAACAATACATTCTGATTATGGATCTGCATTAGCCCTCATGAGCTTTTTAAACAGTTCCACAGTATTCCATCTCGTGGGTGTATTATAAATTACTTAACCAGCTCTGGGGGTGGACTCACTCTTGATTCGGCGCAGGTAAGCCTCGTCCTCTGTCTCAATCAGGGGGAAGTCCTCTCTGGATGGGCATCTAGAGGGGTAACAAGTAGGGTGGGGTTGAGGGATCAGGAATCAGCCTCCTTCCCCCAAACATGCTCTGTGCTTTCCTATAAGACTCTCTAGCCCCATGCCCTGGCTTCACTCCTGACCCCTATCATATTCTAGTGGACTATGCACCCTTCCATGGGCCACCTGCAGGGGTAGCACCGTGCAGATGGGCACTACAGGCTTTGGCGTGAAGCAGACTGGCCCAAATCCTGGTCCTGCCATTTACCAGATGGCAGCTTGTCTATTTCTCATCTGAAAAATGGGTATGACATTTTTTCTCTTCACTGTTTTTTTTTTTGTTAGAATTAAATAAAGAAATGTAACAATGCTTCAAACATGGCAGAAGCTCAATAAATCGTTGACAAAGAATATGAATTATGATTTTCACAATTACAAATATTAATACTGTTCACAGAGAGGCCACCATGGATCCATTGTCAATGGAACAGGTATTTTGCACTGTTTTCCTACAATAGGCAATGTCATACTTTTGTATGAATTTCTGAAAAATCTGTCCAAAAGTCTAAGCTGCAGAAATATAAAAAAGTTTACAGGGATCCCTGGGTGGCGCAGCGGTTGGGCGCCTGCCTTTGGCCCAGGGCGCGATCCTGGAGACCCGGGATCGAATCCCACATCGGGCTCCCAGTGCATGGAGCCTGCTTCTCCCTCTGCCTGTGTCTCTGCCTCTCTCTCTCTCTCTCTCTCTGTGTGACTATCATAAATAAATAAATTTTAAAAAAATTTAAAAAAATAAATAAATAAAAAAAAATAAAAAAGTTTACACATTAGAGTGGAGAAAATCCATTTCTAAAAGCTAAAAGAAATTACAAATATCCTGACTGAGTTTATTTTTTTTTGCATAATCTTCAAAAATCCATTTTGAATGTTTTACATGCATTTTTTCCGTTTTTTTTTTTTTTTTTTTTTTATCACAAGAGACACATAGTCAATGGCCTCAAAGCTTATGCACATCCCACAGAAGCTCAAAGTCCACTGCCTTGGCAGACTGAACAGTTTACTTCTTGTCTCAACTGGGTGGGGTTTGGCTCTAATATCAATGCCTCATTCCCTCTTTCATTCATTTTTAGAAAATAAAGGTAAAATGCAATACAATCCAAATAATAGCCCACTGCCTCCAGACTGAGATGTTTCTGTGCCTGATACTGTCCTGTTGGCTGGCAGGCGTGCCCCCATGTGACAGCTCAGGGTACCCCTCTGCTTGCCAGCTCAGGCTCCTGAAAGATGCTCGGGGTTGTCACGGTATGTCTGACCATCCAGGATACGATGGCCCTTGCCTCAGGACACTGTGCTTCTCTCCCCCAGCCTCTGCCTCCTGCTCCGAACCCCAGGCTCTTTCCCCTGCTATAGCCTGGCTGCAGACTCCCTGAGGCCATACACACACTCACACGCGCACACTCTGCTGAATGACCCGGATCCAGGTGCTCCGGTCATCCCGAGATGCGGTGTGGACCTCATACATCTCAGGGGGCGCCGCACTGATCAGAAACATCCCTTTCTCCTGGTTGGCGATGTCCCGTACAATCAGATTCTGCAGTGATACCACTGAGGGCTTGTCCTGCAAGTCAGAATGGAAGGACTCAGCCTGGGAACCTGACCCTGGGATCTCAGGGTCTTCAGTCTTGCCAGAGTACCTGAAGGACTGAAGAGCCAGCCAGCAATATAAATTTAGAGTCCCTGGTTTTGGTGCAGCCAGAAGGGACTTAGGAGTGCATGTGACCTCTGGTGGGTTAATTAACATTAAGGTTTACCAGGGAACTTGGCTGGTTGAGTTGGGGGAGCATGCGGCTACTTCAGGGTTGTGGGTTCAAGCCAAACATTGAGTGTAGAGAGTACTAACAAAAAAAAAAAAAAAAAAAAAAAAAAAAAAAAAAACCTTTAAGGTTTCCTCTCCTCATCTATAAGGAGGGATCCTAAGAGGCCCTCCTCACAGTCATAATAACCCGTTAGCTACTTCTATTCCTTATGATATTATAGCAATGGTCACAATAGCCATTTGACTCTGGAGGATTCTAGGGTTCCTTCCAGCTTGGGGAGAAAAGCAAGAAAAGGCTGTGATGCTTGTCCATGCCAGGAAAGGAGAAGGAGGAAGATCTCACCAGGGCAGGAAAGATGTACTTCTGGTCCTTCTCCTGGAGAAATACCAGCACGTCTGTCATCAGGAGCATGAGCACATCTGGCCGAGGGGACAAGTGGGAGAATGGTCAGCAGCAGAGGTCTGGGCAGCTGCCCGCCTCTTTCTCAGGATCCAGGCGTAACCTGTCCTGTCCGTTCACGGCTCCTGAGGAGCCCCTTCCCGGCCTCTCTTCCCTCCAGGTGCTTCCTCTCACCTCTGTGGCCTCCACCTCCCCATTCTTACAGCTCAGAAATGCCAGGGGAAAAGATCTGTGTGCTACCAGACCAAAGAGCTTCTCAGCTAGAGAAGCTGCAGAGGGACACCCATGCATCTGAAGGAAACCCTCTTTGCCCAGCAGATGCCGATTTCTTAACCTGGGGCCTACAGACCCCTAGCATGTCCACTGCTGGGCTTCAAGGGCTCTGCAAACCTTCTGAAGTTGCAGAAGCAATTTTACATATTATTGTAATGCACACATGTGCTTTTCTGGGTGAAAGGGTCCAGAATTTTCATGAGAGTAAAATGTATTCCCGCAGCGGGAGGGGCCACCCTTTCAATTCTGTGCCTAGCAACTGACATAAGAGCTTTTCAGCTGTCTGACCTAAAATCCCCTGGCCCCCCCGCAATGCCAGGGCTCAGGAGTCAGGAGACAGGCAGGCTTATCCACCCCTCCTGTGTTCTCAGACCCCAGAGGCACCTTGGCTGTCTTCTGCACCCCCTTCCAGCCGCTCCAATCCTGAGTCCCACACTTTAACTTGACAAAGGTCAAGTCCCTAAAACTCAGATGGCACAGCCAAGGAAACACAGGCTCACCCTTTGCCCTTGGATATCTCACTCAACTGTGGGTACACAGAGGGGAGGGCTTTCACTAAATGCTTCAGAAATAAAGCTCTCCAGCCCTGCTATTTTTAACCCCCATGGTTTATATTCTTAGTTGCTGTGTGGGAGGAACAGAAAAGAGAAGGGGATGAAGGAAGGCGCCCGGTAGGCACCGCCATCCCCCAGCCTGTGAAGGGGGATTTCACAACAGGGACACAGCAGGGGGGTGGGGGGGAGACAGGCTCAGTCCCGGGGTACAGGCCTGCTGTAGCCAGCACTCCTCACACCCAAAGCAGGCTATTCCCTGTGTCTCACTTTAGGGAGGAAAGCTGCAGCCAGGGTGGTGTGGGGACAGGGGCTGGGCAAGTGTGACTCCCCACACACACCCCCACTGCTCTTTTCTCTCATCTTCATGCTGCCTGTCCTTCTGTCCTGCCCATCCTTCCGTCTGTCCTACCTGTCCTCTCTGTCCTCCTTGTCCTCCCTGTCCTTCTGTCTGTCCTGCCCATCCTCCCATCCTGCCTGTCCTTCTGTCCTGTCCATCCTCCTCATCCTCCCTGTCCTTCCATCTGTCCTGCTCATCCTTCCATGCTCCTGTCCTGCCTGTCTGCCACTGGGCCCTCTCTGGCTGTCTTCCTGAAGCACCTGCCTAATCTGCAGCCCGGCTAGCTGCCCCTCTCTTGCCCCCCGGTCCTGGAGATTCTCTGTCTTCCTCATCAAAACTGATAGCTCTCTGGGCATGCATGCAAGGACCCAAGAAAGGGGCAGATCCTGACAAGGAGCCCCTGTGTGGCCCATGAAATGAAATGAAGAACTGGGACTTTGCTGCAACAGAGACACACATTTCTCTCGCACTGGGCCCCCGGACGGTGTCTGCAGAATGTGGTCCTACAGGCTACCTGCTCGTCCCTCCCTCTCTCTGACTCTGGGCTCTTGCCTGGCCCGCCACACTGAACACTGACCTTTGAAGCGACCTGTCGCTGTCTTCCAGAGCAGGCAACCATCATGGATGAGCTTGCGCCGCAGAAGCTCCTCTCTGCCAAATGGGCCCTTGCTGGGCACTGGGGCCTGGGCCCGAGGGTCCATCCGGTGGTAGATCTCCTGCAGGCGAGCTCCTTTCTCCAGCTCATGCACATCCTGGTCTACATTGGACAGGAGCTCCTTCACCAGCCCCAGTGCTGTGGTCAGGTCCTGGCGCTCCTCGTCGGTCCCTGGTGTCCAGGGTCGGCATGAGGCACAGCAGGTCCACTTCAGTCCCACCCCAGCTCCCGCAGAATCCCGATCCCATCTGTAGAGGCCGCCCCAGGCCCCACAGCTTACCTCATCCTTTCCCTGGGTTACCCCGGAGAGCTCTCCCTGCACTCTCCCCGCCCTCCTTGTACTCTCCCCAGGCCTGCCCCCTCACCATGGGAATGCTGTAGGATCCGGTTGATGAGTACCGGGTACTTGGTGATGCGCTGGGTCACCAGCAGGATGCACTCCTGCACCCCATGACGCTTCAGCACAGCTGATCGGGTCACCTTCTAGAAGGGCAGAGTCAGGGCTCAGGGCCAGCCTGCGGACAGGGCCTGGCCACAGCAATGCTGGACTCAGACCCTGCACTCCAGTGATAGCCCCAGTATGGCCATCTACCTCCCACTGGCTTAGGTGACTGCATGTGGGACCGGGGAGCACGATGCCATGACGAGGACTGAGCAGATATAGGAGGGAGAAGCACTTGCTGTAACATCCCCCTCCATGGGGGTCAGGGAGCACCTGGTCTCCATGTGGCCGCAGCACTTGATGCCCCCCAGGAAAGAGGAGGCCGGGCACAGGCCGCCAGAGGAGGCTCTGTGCGTGAGTCCTGGAGAGGTGTGCTCACCCGGATGAACTGCTGGAACCTTTTGTCCCGGGCATATAGCTCCTTGTAAAGCTTTAAGGCCTTAGTGTGGCGGCTGCAGAACTCTGAGTAGGCCTTACGCATCCGCTCCGCGCTGGGACCTGAGAACTACACGTCATGGAGCCAGCCTCAGTCAGCATGTTCCTCAAAGCCACGGCCCATCCCCTGGATGCCCTCTGTCCTCCGCCCTCCAGCTCTCGTGGCTGTGCCCCCCAGACTCTGCAGGTGACAGCACCCACTCTGATCACACCTCTGCCCCACCTGGCTGATGAGCAGGTCTGCCAGGCGATGGATGACGAAGTTCCGGGTGCTTCCAGGGCACAGGGCTTGGCGTCGGCGTTCTAGGAGCTGGCTGAGGAAGCGTGTGTGGATGTCACTGAGCTCATCCACGCAGGGGAACAGACCCTGGACCACTCCGGGCTCCAGCTGCAGCTCCTCTAGCATCCCCGTGCGGAAGAGGCGGGTCATGATCTTCAGCGTCCGCACATGGTGCAGCTCCGTCTGGATGAGCTCTGTGGGCACAACAGTTCATGTGGACCTCATCCTGTCTTGGCCACAACTGACTCGGCTGGGCCCTCAGGGCTCAGTGGGATTTCTAAAGTCCCTTCCAGGTTGACATTCTGCATTGTTATGGTCTTAAGATTTTTTTTTAAATTTTATTTATTTATTCATGATAGTCACACACACAGAGAGAGAGAGAGAGAGAGAGAGGCAGAGACACAGGCAGAGGGAGAAGCAGGCTCCACGTAGGGAGCCTGACGTGGGACTCGATCCCGGGTCTCCAGGATCACGCCCTGGGCCAAAGGCAGGCGCTAAACTGCTGCGCCACCCAGGGATCCCTTAAGATTTTTTTCTAATCATTTTCTGTCTTTATGCTCTGCTACATCAAGCTGTGAGCCGTTTAGGGGCAAGAACCACATGTTCCCACATGTCCAGACTCCCCACAGGCCCCAGTGTGGTGCCAGGCATGGTACAGGCCAGGAGCAAAGGCAGAGAACCCACTTGAAGGAAGGGGTGTAAAAATGGGGCCTGGAGACCCAGAACCCCAAAAGGCAGGGGCCTTATAGCCACTTGTGGGCTGGGGGAAGGGTCTGGGGGCGGGGCCCATGGACTAATGGGGTCAGGGGGCCTTTGGGCTAAGATGGTCAGGGGGGCCCACAGACTAACAGGGCCCATGGGTTAATGGTCTGGGGGGTGCGGGCTGGCAGAAGAAAGGCTACAGAAGCCAGGTCTTCTTGGCTCACCGTAGATGACATCCTGCTGCTTCATCACCTCTTTCTTCTGCTGCTGCAGGAAGCTGCTGTCTACTGCCAAGCTCCATGAGTCGGCTGCAAAGTCCCTCTCATCTGTCTCAAAGTCACTCATGAGCTCACTGTAGATCACTTCTGCACCTGGACGCCAGCGGGCCAGACACTGAGCTCAACTCTCCCCATGGGGTCCTGGCCCCTCGGGCCCCTCCCACGCTGCCCCCACCCACCCCCGGGCCGGCAGTAACCTTCGTCAATGAGGGACTCCACTGATAGGGCTCGGTTCCGCATGTTGAGGGAATCTGTGGACTGGGACAGGATTCGGCGCAGCCCCAGGGGTGACTCGTCACTGAAGTGGCTGAGGGAAGAGGGCCTGCGTCACCCTGACTCGGGCGAGAGACACCCCCCCCCTGCTCTGCCAGACGGGGAACCAGGGCTGGGGTCTGAGGGGCGTGCAGCCCGAGTCCTCCCTCCCTGTCTCTGGTTCTGAGTTCAGGGTTGGGAAGAAGCCCTCAGGCCTCCTGGTCCCCACTGCCGCTCTCACCCACCTGCTGTTCCCTTCCCCAAGCAGAGGCTCACCCGGCAATGTTGGTGGTAGAGACACTCTTGGCTAATGACAAGGAGGAGCGGCCACGGCGGGAGCCGAGCAGGGACTGTCGGAAGCTGTCAGAGGGGTAGATGGCAGAGCTTGGCCGCTCCCGGGGGGTGGCTGCAGAGGGGTAGCCAGCAGGCAAGCGTCAAAGTTGCTGCTTCCCAGACTCCAGGCCTCCCAGGCTCCAGACTAGGAATGTGGCCTCCTCTCCCACCCCATCCTCCACCCAGCCCCGGAGTCAAGGAAAGGTCACGGCAGTGCCTCCTCCCTTGGGCACTACTTCTAACGTTTGTCTTGTCTCCTCTCTTCCCCAAAAGAAGCCTGTGAGCAAACCAAGGCTCAGGAAGGTTAAGAGACTGGTCCAGGGACTCAGACTCCGCTCTTACTGTGACACCAAAGCTGTCTGAATGGCACTTGATAGCTGCCTGCAATGCTCCCAAGTGCAGTGGAAATGCTCAAACCACCAGCCAAGCCTCACCCCCGTTAGATTTCTGTCCTGCCCCTAAGACCAGGAGCCTGGACACCTCTTATGGCTCACCATCCACTCCCAGTGGGGGTGGGGAAAGCACCATGCAGGAAATGAACCTCAAGGGGCAGGAGAGCCCACAGGCTGAGGGGCCTGGGGTCCCATTGAGGGTCCCGGGGAGAGGGGGGAATCCTGCACGGGGTCTTCTGCATGCCCCCACTACTCACTCTTACTGCGAAGGGAAACAGACTGCAAAGCAGTGCTGTTCTTCAGCAGAGCAGCCTTCTGTTGCTGTGAGACAGAGCAAGAGAGACACCAAGGACAGCTGTCACCAGGGGTTGCCTCCACAGGCTTGGGCAGGAGCTGGGCAGCTAGCCCCTCGGAAGGAAGCCAGCACAGTGGTCACGGGCATGAGGGTGGCTGAGCCCCACGCTAGGGGGCAGGTGTCCAGAGCAGCGGGCTGGCCGCATGGGGCCTGGGGTGCAGGGTGTGGGCTGCCCCACAGTGAGGAACACAGAGTGAGGAGTGAATGGGAAGGGCACACTCACTACCCTCTCCCCAGCCCACTGCCCGCCCTGCCATCTCACCTTCTGCTTGACCTTGGTACAGTTGGCGAGCGTGTCTTTACAGCGGTTGTGGATAGTCACATTGCAGGCTGGGAGGGTGGGGTAGAGAGGGTGAAGGGGGGGCCGGGTGGTACAGGAGGGGACACACACCCACAAGCAGGCACCCGTCTCCCCCTGGCCACGCAGCCGCTGAGGCACCTCTTCCCAGACCTCATAGCCACGACCAGACCCGTCCCTCCCCTCGCCACCTCTGCCCCTTCCTTCCAGCAGGAAATCAGGTGAGGGGATAGAGGTGGCGACCACAAGGAAGCAATGCTGACTCAGAGGTGACCTGAGGGGTGGGCCAAAGGAATTACTGGCTGCCAGAGATGAGCTCAAGGAGCACAGAGGTGGCTGAGAGTGACAGATGGAAGAGGACGCCCACGGGACAGGAGGTGGCATAGAGCAGCTGGGATGGGGGCCAGGGGCAGGGGGCGGTTAACATCCCTGGAGCACATAGCATGTGCTCCACAGTTACTTGATCCCAACGACCCTTTGGAGCAGATTCAATTTTCCTCATTTTGCAGATGAAGAGCCCGCCATCCCAAGAGGTCAAATCACCTGCCAGAGGCCAGGCAGCCAGCAGCACAGCTGGGCTTGAAACCCAGGTGTGCCTGGACCCAGAGGCCACGCTCCTGCTGTGCACCACACATGCACCCATGAACTGTGGCCAGGCCCAAGCATTCAAAGGCTGGTGGACCCACTGCTGGAGCAGGGACAGGCCCTGCCCCATCTGTCTCCAAGGCCCACCAGCCTTCCCCACTGGTCCCCTCTGACTCCTATCTTCCCCTTCCAGGCCCGGGGCCCGTTCCCCACCCGGGGCAAGCCCGCAGTTCCCCACACTCCACTGGCTCCTGCCCCATCACCCACCCTGCCACAGGGGGAGGAGGGAAGAGAGGAGCGGTCAGGCCTTGGCAGCAGGACCGCTGGCTGTCTCTGTCCCCAACATGCCTCAGCCCTCTGCCCTCTCCTGCTTCCTCCGCCACGTCCAACAACACAGGAAACTCTGCCACCTTCTTCAGACAATACCCAGCACCAGGCTCACTTCCACAAATACAAGGCGAGCAGGGTGGGGTGGAAGGGAGGACCGGAGGGGGCTGGGGCTGCCCCACTCCCCTAGAGCTCCCTTCTTCTACCCCCGGCACCCAGTGTCTCTGGATCAAACCTCCGCTTTCCACCTGCTCTCAAAATAGTGCTTGCTGCCTGCCTCCCCGGTTCCCCTGGCAACAAGCCTCCCGATAGGGAACTCTGTCAGGTCTGGAGGGATCTAGACCAGGCTTCCCTCTTCATTTCCCCAGTCTAAGGTGGCTAGTGAGGAAGCAGGAAGACCTTGCTGGTTTTTCCATAGGGAATGAGAGGCTAGGGCCCTGGTCCTACCATCAGCAGCAGGGCCAGAGGCAGCTCGGCTACAACCTGGGGCCACAGGGGCCTTCTGCACCAGCACGTGGCGATCCCAGGGAAGAATGCCCCGTTCTGACCTCCTAAATACGGACGTGCTGAAGTCGGGAGCTCTGACCCCTCTCCCCCAACAGAACACATTCCTGGTATTTTCCCTCTTTCTCCCTGTCTGTTGGTCACACCAGAAATTTGAGACAGATGGTCCTCATTCCGTCCTCTACTTCAAACTGCAGAGACTAAGATATTTCAGGCTCCCCCCAGTTGATAGAAAGGGAGGGGCAAGGGGTCCCTGAAATCCTGACCGTCCAGTTCTGCCCAGGAAGACAGGCAGAAGCAGGTGCAAGGCTGGCTTGACATCCCCACCTCCCCAGGACATTCCTGATCCTTCTTTAAGCAGTTCCCGGAACCCTCAGCAGCTGCTCAGTAAGCCAGGGGACACCCAGTGGACGACAGATGCAAGGGGAGCCACCCCAGCACCCCCCCGCCCCCCGGCTCCCAGAGAGCCCAGCTTGAGCCCCAGTCCAACCCACCCCCACCCCCCGCCCCTCGGAGGCAAGAGGCACAAGGGATCAAGCATCTGGCCCTGCCAGGGCTCCAAGAGAATGACCCAGGGAATCCAGGGCAGAAAGGACAGATGGCAAGGTTAGGGTCAGTGGGCATCGAGTCAGAATGACAGTCAGGATCCCAACAACTTACTTGGGCAGATGAGGGCTTCCTTGGCTGTGATGCTCTTGTTACAGGCATAGCACATGGTCATGCCCGAGACGGAGATGGTGGTGAAGAGGTGCCCGTTGGTGTAGCGGGCGTCCTTGGCTTCCTTCATCTTCTCCTTTTCCCGATTCTGCAGAAGGGGTGAGAGACAAGAAGTGAGGCTCAAGATGACAGGTGCCCAGTGGTGCCCCAGAGACAGGTGGAGGGCAGAGGCCAGGTAGTGATGCCTGACTGGGGTTGCTGTAAGGACAGCACTTCCCAGAGAAGGGCCTGCTGCAGGGTGTCACAGGCAGCTGTCCAAGGGTGCCCGGGGCCAGCCCCAAGGGCCTGGCTGGCCCTCACCTACCTGACCCCTGCGGCTAGGCTGCCTCCTGTGGCCACTCATCTCCCCGGCTCTGGCCCTCGCGTCCTCCCTGCACTTCCCAGCCCTGCTCTGCTCGCCCCCGGGCTGCTGTACGCTCTCCTCTGAGCTGGGGGAAGATGCGCAGAGAGGAGGGGAGAGCAGGCGAAGCAGAGGGTGCCAGCTCACCAGCGCTTTCAAATCTATGGGAGTTAGCTGCTCTTATAACCATGACAACCAGCATTGGAGCCCAGGCTCCACCGTCATGGTGGGGGGCAGGAGGGCCCTTAGTAGATTGGCTGGAGGCCAGAATGCCTCCGTGGCCACCCCCAACCCAGAGGTCAGATCCCAAAAGCCAGGGCCTCTGTGAGAGGCTGGAGCCTGGCTTTGGCCTCTTTGAGGAAGGAAACTCAGCCCACAGGTCTCCTTGCTTCCGGCAGGAAGTCTGACTTTTATTCCTTATGCTCCCCTCTGAAACCTGGGAGAGCTCTTGCTCCCCCCACTCTCCCTGCTCCCCCATCTCCCATCTTGAGTCCTTTCTGGCATCTACCATCCATCCTCTGGCTGCAACGCCATTCTCTGGGCTCTAGCAAGATGGGGCACAGCGTATGGTCCCCAGAACCTCAAAGGCTGGTGGCTCTCATCCCTGCTGCACCAGCCACTGCAGGTCAAGCCACACTCTCCCAGTACTCTCTGGCCCTCAAATCCCTGAGCTTCCCCAAGAGCCTGAGAAGGTGTGCGATGCCTTCCTTCCCTCCTATTGCAGGACCTTCCTAGGTGGTCACCTCAGACCCCCAATATCCCTCTGAGAGGGTGGCAAACAGGACAGGGCTGGCGAAACCACTCCCCTCTCCTCGACTTCTGAGCTCCTCAGTAAGAGAGCAAATTCCACACTGCTGAGGCCAAGGGCAGGTGCCCAAGGTGGGGGACACTGACTGGCTGGGGCCCTGAGACACAGAATGGAGAGCCAGGGGACAGCCCTTGGCCTGAGCCTGACTTGGCTCCCACACACCAGCAGCTGAGAGGCTGAGGGGAACCACACTGGGCTGGTGCTGGGCAGGCGCTCTGCTGGGGCAGAAAAAGGAAGTGTGCAGGAGCTGAGTCAACAGTGTGGGGGCCAGAGGGCGCTGGGCCATGGTACCCTGAGGCCTCCAGGCCAGGGTCCTCTGTCCCCTGGCTCCCTGCAGAAGCACCAGCTTTGTGTGCAGAGCCTGGAGCTCTTAGGGTCCTTCCCCACCTCCCCTACTTCTCCCGTCTCCTCCTCTTCCTATTTCCAGGTCTCCCCGCCACCCCCACCCCACGGCTTCCCCACTGCCCTTGGCTTCTCCCTCCTGACCTTCCCCCCTCCTGCCCCCATACCCCAGGCCTTGTTAGGGAAGCCTAGCCTTCCAACCCGAGCCTCCAGTATTCTGGTCTCCGTTCTGCTCTGGTACCTACCTATAAGACCACTAGAAAATTCTCCCTCTGCTCTAAATTCCATCTGTCTTGCTCCAAATCACAGCTCTTTAGAAGATCAAATCCTCCTCTGAATGAGGGAAGGCCTCAAAGACCAAGTCCCAAGGTCTCTCCTCATGCCATACACCCTCCCTCCTCTCCTGTACTCCCGGCCTCCTCTGGGACACAAATAAGTTTGAGTACTCACTACGCTTGAATTGAAAGCAGTGAGCCAGCAAACAGAAAAATCACATGAAAAAGACCATGTCTGCATCAGGATGAATGCCTGAGGAGGGAGGGCTGCTCCTAGTCCCTCTGCCCTCTGCCTTCCTGGAGACTCACCTGGGAAAGAGGTGGGAGGAGGGAGGGGACTGGGCAGCCAGAGCACAGTGTCTCAGGCCCTTCCCTCCCTGGCACCAGTGCCCCACGGATGACCCCAGTGCTCCGGGCCGGCTTCCTCTGCTCCCTTCACTCACCCTCTCTCTGAGGGACCCCGTCTGGAGGTGAGCCAGCAGCGGGCAGCAGCCACAGCAGCACATCCCACCTCAGGCCCTGCCCAGTAGCAACGGCCCTGGCACTGCCTAGCGCTATTGTCCCGGGCGCAGTGTGTGCCCGCCCCAGGGCTCGGCCAGGAGGATGGAAGGATGCAGCCTGGTCACTGGGGGTGGGGCAGGGGCTGCTCCAAGACGCGGGGACTGGGCTTTGCTCAGTTCTGTCCTACTTCCCCCAGGTATCCTTAAGATGGTCACACTGGTCTCCCATTGACCTGCCTACCAGCAGGACAGCCCTTCACCTCCATGCCCCAAGTACCATGCAGAGACACAGGCCACTATATCCATCCACGCTGGCTACCCCCTACACTCAGAAGCCCTTCCTGCCAGGGCCGGCCCTCCACCAGCCAGCGTCCAGTCACTTCTGCTCACACAGCCTCAGGGAAGCTTCTCTGGCTGCGTGAGGAAAGGCGCACAAAGACACCTGGCTCAGTGGCCTACGTACAGGCAGGTAGGTGGCGTGCGCTCCTTAGGATGGGAGCCGAGTGGGCAGAGGGATGACAGACACGGACACATGGACATAGACACACAGGTCCCGGCAGCACCTTTGCCCTGCTTGGTCCAAGTCCTCCATCTCTCCATCCCATTCCTCCTCTGCTTCCTTTGAACTTAGACCCTGCAGGGTTTCCTCCAGAGGCCAGAAAGGGCCAGGCCCAGGCTTTCCTCCATTGACCTTCTATTTCTTGGTCACTTTGAGGAAAGAAATTTCAGATGGGTCAAGGTCGGGGGCACTGCAGCTGGCCTCTCTAAAGCTCCAGGGCAGAGGCCGTCTTTCCCCATCTCGTCTTGGCACTTTGCCTCCCACGGTGACATAGGTGAGGGAGGCGATCCCATAGCTCAACTCCCTGGGCTCCTGACAGGTAGCAGGAGACGGCAGCACCCACCCAGGAGGGCAGCGCGTCTCCCAGCAAGGCCCAAGCGCTCAGCTGCACCTGCCCCTCCATCGGGTAGGTCCATACTCAGACCTCTGGGGGGGTCACAGGGTGTTCGGAATCCCCTCTGCTCCAGCTGCGACTGGCAGCGGCCCCTGCCCAAGATGGTGAGGCCTCTGTATGGTGAGCACAAGGCCCCGGGGGTTCCACTGGGAGTCAAGTCACCTGCGGCTCAGCAGGCATAGGCTGTGAAGTGCACTGAGTCGGGGGATGAGCTTTGGGCTGGGAACTGAGGAAACAGTGGGTCCCTGGTCACAGGACTGAGATGAGGGCTCGGGATGGCCTCCGCCAGGCTCCACTCCCTCAGCTTCCAGGGACTAGATGAAGGGAGCAGGCAGAGGAGAAGGTGGCCAAACAGAAACACTAGTACCAAAGCCAGAAACATAACACAAAAAGCCATCACGGCACACACAAAGGCACTTAATAAATGTTCACTTGATGAATGAGGATGAGCACTGGACAATGAGGGTGGACACGCTGGCAAGGAAGAGGCGCGTTGAGGGCCACAGGGAATAAAATCAGGCCGGGGACCCTGAGACACAGGCATCCTGGACCCGGGCCTGCCCCCTGCCTGGCCACACCTGTCGGGTCAGGAGAGAGACAGCAGAGGGAGGGGAGTGAGGCAAAACAGACGGGCATTTGTGCAGGGGAACAATAGCTGTGCCAGGACTCCCTGCCCTCCTGGCACAGGGCAGGCCGGCTGACTTGGGAGGGGGCAGCTGCTGCCGGCACCCCCCCTTCAGGAGACACAAACAAACCCAGAAGGGTCCAGCCAGCTCCTCTTGGCCATTTCTCTCCCCAGCTCCAGGAATCCTGACCAATCTGCTCACTCAGGGCCCTCACACCAGAGGCGGAAGCTAAAAATGGAACTAGTTCCAGAAAGCACGAGCCCCCTAATCTGGTGACCACCACTCAAAACAGTAACCCGGAGCACGTGGGACAGTAGGACATACATACCCAACACACGGGTCACATGTACACAACGGGAGTCACACACTCAGATCTGTCCCCTCCTGGATCCAAGGCCAGTTCCAGGGAAGCTAGGACTAAGCCCAGGCCCCTCTCTCTCAATCCTTCACTGAACCCAGTTGGCCTTTCCCCAGACAAAAACAGCCTCCTGCAGCACTGGTGACTTGACCCCCTCCTGCCAGCTCAGTCTCGAACCTTCATGACCCCCAGAATCTCTTCGTGTACCCCTAAAAGCCTCAACCTCCTAGGGTCCCTCCTAGGGACCCCCAATTCCTGCAAAACTTCCTTGTAAAACTGCCAACCCTGCCAGCCCCTCCCTGCTCACCCACCCCTCCGCTCCCAGTCCATCCTGCACACAAAGCCAGCCACCTCTCCTTACTCAGAACAAAGAAATCGCCTCTCCCTCTCTCCCACTCCACCTGCCCCACATACTCCAATGCTGGGGTCCTGCAGACTCCAAGGGGACCCCAGCCTCCAGAGCCTTCCTGGAGGCCCCTGCTCACTCCTAGACAGGAAAGGACCCTTTGTTCTGAGAGATTTGTAAAGGTTAGGATTTAGGGGAGGAGGGGGAGAACAGGGGGCCAGAGGGAAAGAGGCCTGTGGGGTTTGAGTCTGGGAAGGTGGGAAGCAGAGCAGAGAGGATGAGCAGTGGAGAGAAAGAGAAGACAAGACCAGAGGCTTGGGGAAGGGGCCACACAGCCCTGGGGAGGACTGGGAGAAGGGGCATGCTCCCCCGAAATTTCTCCTTCTCTAGGGAGGCTCATGGGTGTCAGACAAGGAACAGGGCAGGGGTGTGGGCTCAGGGCTTGGTCTGACCCATCCTTCCGAATAGGTAGCAGGGGAGACCATCTTCCTCAAATAATCTCATTTCCAACAGGGCCCCCTCTACTTCCCACCACAGTAT